GAAGCTCTGTGTAGATTACCGTCAGTTGAACAATGTTACCAAGAAAGACAGTTACCCTCTGCCTCGTATCGACGATACCTTGGAAACACTGGCCGAAAGTAAACTATTCTCTACCTTATACTTAAAGTCTGGAATCTGGTAGGTGGAAATAGACCCAGTAGATAAAGAAACGACAGCTTTTACCACTGGATCTGCATTGTGGCAATTGAATGTTATGTCATTTGGACTATGTAATGCCTCCGCGACATTTGAAAGACTTATGGAAAACGTATTGAGAGGGTTAACCTGGAAAACATGCCTCGTGTATTTAGACGACATCATAGTCTTTGTGAAATCCTTTGATGAACATCTAAAGAACTTAGATGTTTTTAAAAGAATTCAAGCTGCCCAAGTGATGCTATACCCCAAGAAGCGCCATTGCCATACTCGTCACATGTTTGTTCTTAAGGGGTTTAATTATGTATGATAATTGGACAAGTTGAGCCTCAAAGGCCAAATAAGACAGAGAGGGACTTGGAGGATTAGTTTGACTGAATAATGAAATGGCTCGCATTACAGTATCCTATGAACAAAATAAAAAAGTGTTGGCATATCAACAAAATGAAATATAATAACATAAATAAAGGACCCCGCACTAATCTTATGAGAAATTGCTTTCTGTGAGATTCTTTTCAAATTCAAATCAGATCAGAAACACCTTATCATGAACCGTTTGGATAATATAGGATGTTGAACATGAACTCAAATCCATTTTAGCTCTCTTGCATTTTTCCATTGAAGGTTTTTTTTGCTGCAATATTCCCATAAATATGTGATACATGTTGATACAAAACTGTCTTTAGCTTGTATAATTAATAATTTGTCTAACTGAATTATGTTGTTTTCTCAGGGTTGGCATGGAATTTCCCCATGGTATAAAACCCAGTGGGTTTTTTCAATTGATAAAACCCACTATTATTGGGTTTTTCAAAAATAGCAAATTTTTAGTTGAATGAACGTCATATACATATATTTATTTCTGAATAAAAACAAAAACTAGCATAAATAACATGAAGTAGTAGGTGAATACAAAACTAAAGAAACTGAAACTAAACTAACAAAACACTTATTTCAATATGGTATATAGAGAAATAAAAAAAGAGACTTGTGCAGGTGCTGATGCACTGATGCCAAATGTATTCATTTATGTCAAGTTGCTTTATTTTGTAAGGACATTTTATTTTATTATTTTTGCAATAAAAGTCATAATTTTTGTAAAACTTTTGATAGAGCAAAAACTATATATCAAATCTAAAGAAAAAACTGAAAATTTAAAAAAAAACCCAAAAAACCCATAAAAACTCAAAAAAACCCGTCGGAATGGGCCTTAAAAAAAAAACCCGGGTTTTTCCAACCCTGTGTTTTCTTCAAATGATTTATAGCTATAATATATAAGTATGGGTTTTAGTTATTATACCTATAGTATTATTTAATTTTAAAACAACAACTACCTTTCTTTATTAAACATTATGTGATCATTATTAGTAATGTAATAATTCAACGTACATATAAATAAATAGCCCAATTTAAAATGTTCAATAAAAAATAAAATATATCACTCAAATTAAAAACAATCAATTTAAATGAAAATTATTACATAAGCCGCCAAATGAATGATTAAATGATATTTATTTTTGTGTCGCTAAGAACTTACCAATAATTAGCGTTAGAGAAGTTGAGTTTTTCTAGGAATAAAATGTATAAACAAGCTTAAAGATAATCACCAACTTTTTTTAAAATTCATTTGAGAAAATATTCGTTGTACAGGGTGCGCCATGCTTAACAGGAAGGAACCTGGTGGGTAAACTACAAACGATATTAAAAATTAAAATTTGTTTCACATATACGGGGTGTCCCAAACCAGAATATCAATATTAAATTTATATTTTTTTGAACGGGACAACTATTTTCTTTTACTTAAAAAAATTCCTCGTCTAATAAAGATTTTCTATATCTTTGACAGTTGCCGATTTATTTGACATTTTTAAAAATTTAGTGCTGTCGAAATTAATTAATTAATTACTCTTGATTACAAAATAATTGACGAATTTTTGACATTTCCTTATAATAGGTTGTAATTTTTTTATCAGTACCATTAAAATATTCAAAAAATGTACGGTGTTTGCAATTTAAAGTTTTATTACAGTAAAATGTTAATTTAAATGGAACACCAAGTATTTTATGGTACCAATTGAAGGACATTTTATTTACTATAAAAGTTCTATAAGATTCCCTATACCCATATCTATTTTTAAACCTATTATTAATTTATTTTTATTTATTTATAAAATACAAAAATATTTACATAATTTTGTTACAACCTGTTGTGGATGATAATGATGATAATAATAATAATAATACTCTTCCTAATTCACCTCCTTACGAGTGAATTTCAACCCCTGCAGTTGACTGAACGACTTGTGTAGGGGAAGGATTGGATATTATTATTATTTGCCGTGGCGTAAACTTAGTTATAATATTAAAATAATCAAAATAGACTGTAATAACTTTAATTTCTTGTAATTAAAACTTCGAACAACTAAACACGTCTTACATCATTGCTTATAACATTCAATCTTATGATTAAAAAAATTTAGGTCAATGTTTCTGTGACTTACTGGAATAATATTTTTTTTATTAACTTTATTTCTTTTATGATATTGATGATTTACAATGTTTTGTAGGGAAATTTGAGTATGTATGTAACTGCATATTGTTGACATGTAGATGGTTCTGATATTGCAAGTATAATTTGTAAATATCAGTTCTGTTGGATACATTTTATTCTTCAGTTTTATATTTTATGAAACATCTGCTATTTACGTTTGGAGAAGAAAATTCTTCAAATAAAAGTTACTTCTAGTTTGAATCTCTATAATTTTTGATCTATATAAAATTTTCCTAAAATGGTCCGTATTCGAGAAATTTGACAAAACGTAAAAAATTCAAATTTTTATGAAAATTGTTTAAAGAAAAGTTGTTTGTGATATAATTTTCTATAATTCTTGTCCCATACATAATTTCTCTAAAATGGACCGTATTCCAGATATTTGAGAAAAAGTGTAAATCTCAAATTTTGAAGAAAACTCAAAAACGGATTAAGAGAAAAACATTAAATTTTAAACTTAAGCTTTATTCCGGCCTGAGGTGAACTGATTAGATTTTGGGCAGAGTCAAAACATCTGGGGGGGGGGGCACTTTATGGGGGATCGTTTTTATATTTTATGGAAAATTATCGTTATTAACGTATGGAAAAGAAAATTCTTCAAATAAAAGTTACTTCTAATATAATTATCTATAATTTTTGTTCTATACAAAATTTTCCTAAAATGGTCCGTATTCGAGAAATTTGACAAAATGTGTTACAGTTAAATACCGCCGAAAATATTCATTTTAGAAAAAAAAGTTTCAGATAAAAGTTTTATAGTTTTTTGGGGGAAACATTTTGACTAAATTCATTTTTTTATAGCTGACCATAATATGGCCATATCGAGGTGGACTTTGTTTTTTTAAATGGGAATCCCATTTTTTTTACATATTCTTAAAGTACATAAAAAAATAAGAAAATTTTGGCCATATTATGGATAGCAATAAAAAACGATTTTAGCCAAAAATTTTTCCCCACAAAACTATAAACTTTCGTCTGAAACGTTTTTTTATAAATGGCGGTATTTAGCTGTAACACTTTAATTTAAACACCCGGTATATTTAGTTTATCTTCTAAACATTTATAGAGTTGCTACAATAGGTTGTACAAAATATCCAGAAAAAAACTGTAATAACTAAATAGAAAAGTCATGTGTTGGACATATCATTCTAGTTAAGCCCGTTATCATTTTGTTTTTAACATCATTCCAGTCTACTCCATCAAAAACTAAAGACAGTATCGTCAGCAACGGAAATTATTGTTCACTCAATATCCACTCATACGAGTGAATTTAGGTACACGAAAATCCAAAATGGTCCCAAGACCGTTCCCTGAGGTACTCCAATCCCTATTTCGTGTCTTCCACTGCATGTGCCATTTAGTTTCATAGTTTTAACCTCGTACATTTTTTGAATATTTTAATGATTCCTGATAAAAAGTTACATTTTGTAAGGAAATTCCAAAAATTTCTTAATTATTTCGTAATCAAGAGTAATTAATTAATTTCGAGAGCACTACATTTTCAACAATTGTCAAATAAATCGACAATAATCAAAGAAAGGTATAGATAATCGATTTTTATTAAACTAAGATTATTTTTAAGAGAAAACACTTAAAATTGTTGTCCTATTTAAAAAAATATAACTTTATATTGGTTTCTGGTTTGGGACACCCTGTATATATGAAACTAATTTCAAATTGTAGCCGCCACTGAGTTATATTGTGCAAAAGGAATTTTTAATATATTTTGTAGTTTACCTACCAAGTTCCATTCCGTTGAGCGTGGCACACCCTGTATAATACAAAAACCATTCGATTTTGAAAACTCAACTCTTGGTTATTGGAATAAAAATTACAGAACAGATTGTCAATTCACAAGACACCTAATTCCCTTTTAAAAAAATACTATTTGTCCTACAGGTTTGTATCTCTTAATTTTTTACTTGATATTAATTTATTGTTTAAAAATAATAATATTGTAAAGAGAAACAATATATTTTTGTTCAAATATTAATCATGAATGGTATTGCTCAAATTTAAAATATAAGATAATTTACTAAATTCAATATTCTGCTCTGTAACTCAAATAATGACAATTTTAATAATAATGAATTCATTAATATTTCATTATCAATAAATATACCTAAAAATAAAATTCAACCTACTGTTGTATTTTAAACTAATTTTTTTTGTCATACATTAATTTTTTTATTATTTTTAAACATATGAAATAAACACATCGACATGCTAATTTCACATTTTATAAAGTCAACCATCATTCCAAATAATAATAAATAATAGTAAGAAAACATACTGTTATTAGCCATCAAGTTCTCCTGCAACTTGTCTCTCTGATCTTCGAGTACCTCGCCGAGGTACTGAGCAACCTTTCTAGTAACTTGCTCCACGAACCCATCCAATTTGCCCAAGTCATCAGAAAGACCGACTAGTTGATCGAGAGTACCAACCTAGAAAGAATAATTAGTTTTAAATTATTACTCATTCTATAATTAGTTTAAAAAATAATTACTAAAGTTAATATTTTAATCAGAATGGTAACGAAATAAACATTTATCTTTGGAATGTGTAAACAGTCATGACTAAATACCTACTCTTCTTTAAACATAACATCAAAATGTCATTCTTTAAACATAATATCAAAATGTCTAATTAGTTAACACTTTTTTTTCTACGTACATGCAAAAAACAAAACTTTATTAAACTATATTTAGTGAAAAAACTGGGTCTTTATTGCACTAGTGCAATAAAAAATTTATTGCACTCATCTGTCATTTTACTACAGCGTTTTATGATCATGACAAACATAAATATTCAAATCAACGCCAAATATTTAGTCCATTTTCATTTTCTGAGTTACGTTTTAAAAACAATTGCATATTTTATATTATTTTCAATCATTTAATAAATAAATTAATAAAAAAATGTATTTTATTAAAAATGTCATTACAAATTATGAACACAAACGTAAATAAATGCCTCAAACAAAGGTACACGATCACGGCTACTATGATTTGGATAATACAACTGCAGTTCTATAAAACATTTTTTGGTTTTTGCATGAACGTAGAAAAAATATTGTATGCAACTCGTGTATTTTCCACAGTCACCCTCTATTTGTAAATTTCTTTAAAATTTAACTAATTTGTTAACTTGTTTTCAATTGTGCAAATGGTGAAGGTGGTATAATTCCTTAATTCCTCACAACCTAACTTGCTTCTGGAGATCAGATATGATTTGTAAGGGCTTATCCCACACTCACTATTTCCAATACTGGATTTTTGTCACTTTGTTTGTATCTTTTAATTGTTAATTTGTTCAAACAACCGTATATATACAATTTTAACTCTTGGCTTAAAAGTCTTAATCATATTTATATTTTTCTAAATTGTAAGTTTACATCCACAATTTTTGTAGATAAGCACTGATGATGGCTAATAAGCTGAAAGCGCTTTGCCTTTATTAATTAAAAAGTTTTGCACGAAATACAAGTCTTTCCTTTTGAATCTAAACTACGTGCACACAGCTTTCAACCTTTTTTGGTTATTTCAATTATTAATAATTAATAAAAATTAATAAACAATAATAAAAATTATTAAAAACGATTAAAAATGAATAAAAACGAATAGAAATGAATAGAAATGAATAGAAATGAATAGAAATGAATAGAAATGAATAGAAATGAATAGAAATGAATAGAAATGAATAGAAATGAATAGAAATGAATAGAAATGAATAGAAATGAATAGAAATGAATAGAAATGAATAGAAATGAATAGAAATGAATAGAAATAAATAAAAATGAATAAAAATTAATACAAATAAATAAAAATGAATAAAAATAAATAAAAATTAATAATAAATTAATAAAAATTAATGAAAATGAATAAAACTAATAAAAATTATTAAAAAAGGAAGTCATGTATTTTTTTATAATAATAACACGAATATGCCAGAAAAGTCGCGAGCAAAGCCGCGGGCAACAGCTAGTTAGATACAAAGAAGCAAAGAGACAATATGTCAATAATATAAATGGAGCAAAAAGATTTCATTTTCAAAAGGGATTGCACAATAAAACTTTTCAGCAAAAACAAAAATATATATGGAAACAGGTAAATCACCAAGATGGTAAAACATCAGAAGGTTCTCAAATTAAACAAATTGAAGTAGGAGGACTGTCAATTATTGAACCAAAACAAATAGCTAAAGTTTTTGCAGAGCATTTTGCCACCTCCACAAAAAAAGCACTACAGTCTCATTTCAATAATTTGAATTTTAAAATTTTTACTGTGTCATGTGTCTCTCAGACCTTTTACTTCTCTCCTGTTGATCAACGTGATGTAATTGAAGTTATTCACTCATTAAAAAATGTTAACTCTATGGGCATTGACTGCATTTCCACAAAGATAATAAAATGTATTAGTCATCACATCTCTCAAATTCTAGCAGACTTAATCAATCAGTCTATTCAGCTAGGTATCTTCCCAGATTATCTGAAAGTAGGATATATGTAACTCCTATCTTTAAAAAAGGTGATAATTTAATTGATAATTATAGACCTATTACAGTGCCTACAATCTTAAGCAAAATCTTTGAAAAGTGCGTCCACAAAAAAATGCTAATATTTCTTAAAAAATATGAAATAATATGTAAAAATCAAAATGGATTCCTTCCAGAAAAATCTACTGAAAGTGCAGCAATAGATCTTTTTAATTTCATACATACTTCTATCGATCAAAAGTTGTTTGTGGGTGCGCTTTTCTTTGATTTGTCAAAGGCGTTTGATTCAATCAACTTAGATGTCGCTATTCAAAAATTGGAAGGGCTTGGTTTTAGAGGTAACTTTTTGTCTTTGTTGTCATCTTATATAAATAACAGACAGATCTATGTCAAAGTCGGAAATTGTAAATCTGAACTAGAAAGTGTTGATACGGGTGTGCCTCAGGGATCAATTTTAGGACCTCCAATTTTTCTATGCTACATAAATGATATGCCTAATCATATTAACTCAGAAAACATAATTTTATATGCAGATGACACAACAATTGCCATCAACTCACAATCAGTAGATGAATTAATTAGTAAATTAAATGTTTTATCTAATGAGTTTACATCATGGTGTTATAGAAATTCTTTAATTGTTAATTCAAACAAAACCATTTGCCTTCAGTTCTACTCCAGAAATCAAATTACCCAGAATTGTAAAATAAATGTCAATAATGCAGAAATTTTGCTCTAGATGTTACAAAATTTTTGGGCATACATATTGATAGCAATATGGGTTGGGATAGCCAAATATCTAATGTTTGTAAAAAATTAAACAGCGCACACTATGCAATACTAAAATTAAAATCAATATTTACCCAAGAGCAACTGCTTAATGTCTACTATGCTTTAGCATATTCTCATATATCATACAACATTATTCTTTGGGGTGATGCAGTCAATGCATCTAAAGTATTTATCTTACAGAAAAGAATAATCCGGCTTATTTTTAATCTAGCATTAATGCAAACTTGTAAATATAACTTCAAAAAATTTAAAATATTAACACTTCCCTGTATTTACATTTATAAAACGTTGCTATATGCTAAACGCAACATACACCAATTTTTACAAAATTCAAATTACCATGAATACCAAGATATTCAACAGCATTATTTGCCTGAATTTGTTGGAATTAAATTTTTTAATCAACTCCCTGATTTCATTAAATCTGAAAAGAAATATGAACCTTTTAAAAAAAAACTTAAAAAATATTTAGTAGATTCATGTTTTTATAATTTATCTGAATACCACTATATTTTAAGGTAAATGTTTTTCTAATTGTATATTTTTAATGTGCATGTCTTAGATATATTTTTTTTTGTATACTATACCTACATTTATTTGTATTTTAATATTTTTTATTCATATATATTATGACTTATCCTATATCATGTAACATGATCCTAAAGGACAAATAAACTATTATTATTATTATTATTATTATGCTTGTGATGTCAGTTTCTATAATTTTTGTTGTATACATGATTTCCATAAAATGGATTGTAATGGAAAAACTTGAGGAGAGGTGTAAAATTTTAATTTTTCAGTATTTTCGTTTGTAATGAATACATAAAGTGGATCAAAAAGGAATACAAATATTTTAGGAAGTGATAGACAAAATATTTTTTGTCTGATACATAATTGTTTAAAATGGACTGTAAAGGAGAAATTTGAGGAAAATTTAAATGTTATAAATAATTTTAATCTTTAATTTATATTATAAACACTTTTTAATTAGATGGACCCTACTCAATATATTCAATAACTTTAGAGGAAAGTCATGTGTTGGACACATCATATTTTTTTAATTAACTTAGCTATTGGACTAACTGTAATTTTTTTATTTACCTTTAAATCTGGGATCTGAAATTTATAATTTGTCGACAAGCTATTCTGTTTACTAGTCAAGTTATTCATTGTGTCCCATGTTTGCTGACAAGTCTTGTCACCTGGGGCAGAAATTAACCAGTACTCTGTCATTTCCTTGTCGTGATCTGAAGTGCTGCCTCTAAATGAGTGATGGCTCTTTGAGGACTCTTTACCTAGCCTAAAAAAGAATAAAGACTTACTATACTTATACCACTAGTAATTCTTCAGATGTATACTTCTTGCTTCTCCTGAATTTCATTATTGTAAAATATCAAGCTGTGATCATTAATGTTGTCATGTGACTTAAGGATTGAGTTAAGTTTTTAAGTAATAATAGTAGAAGATATCAAAATAACACCACTAAATATATAAATCAATTGACAAATTAATTTAAATTAATAAATAAGGCAATTAAAAGGAATTATTTCTACACTAAATAAAACAAAACATTAGGGTTTAAATGCATATTTGTTTAAAATAATGATTTGAACTGTTCAGAATTGAAATACCAAACCACAACTATTTTTGATTTTTTTGGGTCACGTTATTCCACAGCTACCCTTGACTGAATAGTTTATATTTAATTACAGGGTAGCATGTTTGCAATGAACTATTACAACTTCAGAATGAAAGAAATTAATTATACATTGTATTGTAATTTTAATTTGATGATTTAATTGATATATGGTCGATAATAAGTTACCTTCAAAAGTACAATAAATGCACAAAACACCCTTTTCAACCACTCCCCAAGTCGAAGTTGGCCCACAGCTGATCGTTATTTGAAGTTTCACGTGATTATGTTGCCGTCATCTGTCATGAGATGGACCTACCCAAAATAGTAACTTTTTTTAATGTTGGCTGTATTGCTTAAGATTTAAAATTTAAAAAAAAATATTCAAACGGAAACTCTGAGGAGATGAGAGATCCACTATTATTTGGAGATGTAATGCACTTTAAAATCAACAGTACATACAATATTACAATAAGAGTCCTGTAACCTTTGAAATTTCTTCACTGAAAATTAATTTTATTTTAACTTACGAGTGTCCAGAATTACTGCTGTCCTTGAGTGGGACTGGAGTTTCATCAGTTGCCTCCGAATCAGTACTTTTTCTGTGACTGATAAAATGCATTATTATTTTTGTTAATAAATGGATCATTTAAATTTTAAAATTTTCGTCTTTATAGAAATTTGACTTTTAAATGTCAGTGTCACAAAACTATTTGATTATCATTTGTTCGTAATAAGAAATGAAATTCGTTTTGAAAATTTTCGAATTTTAATATTTGGCGCTAGTTAGTGGGTCACCAAAATTTGCCTTGTTGTCAGAGTTTTCATTTCACTTGTCACTTGTCAATTTTAACTCTTGTCATTTAATCAACTTCAACTTGAGTGTTATTTATTTTTGGATTATTTGAAAAGTGTTTTTATATAAAAATTGCATTGGGATGTTTATGAAATATTGTGTTTAATTATTGGGCGAGGTTATTAAACATTGCGTATTAAAATGGCTGGAATAAAAGGTAAAGTAAATCTATAATCGCAGTTAAAGGTCAAGTTTTTAAATTAAAAGTGATTCATTTCATTGATCTTAAAAAGTCATACCACACCAATGTTTGATTTCTTCCTAATAAGAGAATTTGAATAGTTAAATTTGATGTATTGGTTTCTAGAAAATACGTTAATACTTGTTATTTTTTTACACTCAAATATATTTTTTTCTTATCAAGGAAACTATTTTTAATAGAAAGTTTTCTTTTTACTAGATTTAAAGGTTTTTGATCGGTAATGTGGAAAGAATCTTCTAGAAGCGGTTTTTCTTTTTCTTGCTACATGTAATTGTTACTTGAACAATTATTACTAAATATTGGAAATAACATTAAGGGAACTAAATAATTTAATCATTACTTGCTTATACATAATTAAAGTCTGAATGCTTCATTTCGAAAAAAATAATTAGTCTAGTGGCTCCACAGATTGATATTTAAAAATACAAACTTCAAAAACAATACATTAAAACAGGTTAAAATTGATTTGGATCTGTATGTTAATTTTGTAATAGTATAGTTGCTTGAATATAAACAGACTATGGACTATACATTAAAGGATATTTAAAATTACCTACTGATTTGTTTTATAAATAAATTTTTATAGATATGAAGAGACTAATTTAGTTTCTTTTTTTCATATCCATCGTCTGGTTTGCTGTCTGAAAATGTAGGGTAAGTACTTATTATTTATTCTCTAAATTATATTGATTCTCATACCTATTTCTTAAGATATGGAGAACCTAATAAGTATATTAATATATATTTTTTAATCTGACAAAACCCCAAATGTATTTGGGTATGTGTAAAACAAAATCCTTATTGTCATTGTTACGCAAGGTGTTAATATAGTTTTAAGACTATATTGTTAGATATCTACACTATGTACTATTTTTAATTTAACACCTTACATTGTTATGTCTAAGAACATTTGTGAAAACATGTTTAATTCAAAGAACTTAAATAATTTACTGATGGAAAAATCAACTGTTAACATCATCTATAAAACCATTTATTATGACAAATGTTTATTTGCAGCAAGTTTCTTTAAAAGAAAAGGGACACAAAGTTACCAAATATCTAAAAGTGAAAGTTTTTTTTTTGTGAAATTTAAAATCCACTGAGGTATAGGTATTTACTATTTGCGAAAACAGGCAGGGTTTGTTACTGAGAATTTTGAAGATTTAAGGTATAATTTGTATTGTTGTCATTCAGTTTTCTATAATTTTGGAAAAATAATTCCATAACTTTGATAATTTTACATATAGTCTCATTGTATACCCATACCAATAGAACGAAAACCTCAAGGCTTGATGCTGCTCTAACTTCTTGATGATTAAAGCTTAGATATTTTTAGAATATTATTTCACTAGGGCCTGATTGGTCAGTGTAGGGATAAAGAGAAAAGAGCAGATACATATAAAATATAGGAGTTTTCATCTGACCAAACTTGATTGTTCATATATAACACATATTGTGTAAACAGATCTTTTTAAGAAAACTTTCTGCAAATCCCAATTAATTATTTTTAATTAGTCTAACATCTATGTAAATTATTGTTTAATTAAAGTCGTTTCCTAAAAATTTACCTGGAGATAATTTATTTTCAGTTTGGTGATTTTGGCATTTGCTGGATCGATTGGAATGACTTTTCTCATTTTGGCATGTGCTCTACCTCAATATGCGTAAGTACCTTTTAAACATAACAAATAAATAATTTAAAAATTGATAATGATTCAAAATAATATTATATATATTATCTGTATCTAGTATTGCAGTATACAGTTACTGAAAGGTCAAATAAAATATTTTTTTGTGAAGATAAAAGTAGTTTTACAAAATTATTTATATAAAATTAAAAAATAATTGTTTTACATGATTAACATTTTTGAAACTGCTATTTTACTTTGATTAAGAATTATTTTAAATAAATATAACATTAATGTTATTTTTTCAGTAAATACAAGTATATTAATAATATATTATAATGATTAAATTGGTATATCTATAAATAATAATAATAAGGCTGCAAAAATATAATTTATAGAAATTTTAACAGCATTTCCCTAAACATAGATGGTACTATGTTTTTGAGACCTAAAAAAATTAATATACATTTGATAAGTATCACTTTCTTGGAGAACCATGTATAATTGTAATTATTTTTAAGTTTTTGCCTTTTCTGATATACATCTCGCTGTGATAACAGATTTTAAAAAATTCAAATAATTTTGGCTCTACACTGAAGTGTTACTGGTGGCTAACCCTGTACAACTCAATTGATTACTTCATTATGAACATCAAATTGATAAACACTGGGTGGACACAAGAGTGTGTGGGCTACTGTTAATCTTTTGCTAAAATAAAATAATAATAATAAAAGTTTGATGTACCAAATAGATTATTTAAATATAAGTTTTAATTCTTGCCAAATTAATTTTTTGGAGATTTGAAAATAAAAAGATTTTGTTTTTATTATTCCTATTGTATTTATTGAATGTTTTTTTTTATACAATTTGTTGTGGTTTGTGGCTAAATTTGAAGCAATACTGCAAATATATTCCCAATTATGGTTTTGTAAACATTTTTATGGATAACATTATATATTTTTAACAGGTAAAACTCAGAATGTAGGTATGGTCTGCAATTAGAATTCATTAGGCATTGATACATTCGATTTGGGCTGTATTCCACTAGTTTTAAATAATCTGTTATGATTTCAATATAGGGAGTAACTGGCCAATTAGAAGCAAGTCAATATTGATCCATTATATTCTTTAAAAACAGTTCTTTTTGTTCCATATATAGTGATGCATACGAAACGATTCTTATTTAATTCATAAAGAAAAATTAATGATTATTAAAGGAATATTGATAACCAAAGGGTTAATATTGAAACTATGAAAGATTATATGCTATTCCATAATTTATAAATTCAAGCTGTAGTGATTTTTTTCACAGCTCCAATATTAGTAGAAATAAAAAATATATAAAACAATACAATATTAAAAATATTATGTAACGTGTTTCATTCTTACAAAATAATCGTTAGTGTTATATAGACACATGTCCAGTAATATCTTTTTAATTTGATGTTTAAACTTTTTTCCTGGTAGATTACGGATGTGTGGCGGAAGTTTATTATAAAATGAAATGCCTATTGTTCGGGACTTGTTTATTCTAGTCCTCGTTTGGATTAACTGATTTTTCCCTCTGGTATCGTATGTATGATTGAGTGATATGTGAAGTTTCCCAAATTATTTTTTATGGCTAGCAAGTTTTCAAATACTATTTACGAAAACAGGATCATTATGCTAAGTTGCTTAAATAGTGGTCGGCATGGTTCATAATAATTTACCCACAGAATTAGAGCGAACTGCTGATTTTTGCAAGATATAAAGTCTTTGTAGTGAAGTGGATTTCTTTTGACAAAATCTTAATTTCTGGAATCTCAGCGCTTTGTAAAGTGTTGTGAATATATATACTTACCCCACCATGGATATGCGTTTCTCTACAAAAAGTAGTTACGTTATTAAAATTTGTAAGATTGAAACATGTCGCCTGGTTAGAAAACGCCAATGTTTACAATTTTTACGTTTGTCATGTTATTAACTAGGTTGTCTTATTGAAGTATTTTGTTTCTAATACATTGTACGTTTTGATGGAGAGTAAGCAATGTATAACTCAACTCAAGGGCATATAATATGATAATTCTAGCTTTTTTAGTATTATAAAAAAGGTTTGAATGAAAAATGAATCTTACTCAACAGTTTTATATTTTTTTGTAGGTTGTGGTGGCCATTCTTTGTCTTACTATTCTATCTCCTAGCACCCATACCCACATTAATAGCCAGAAGGTATAATGATGGTTCCGGATCCAGTAACAATTGCCTAGAGGCTGCCATTTTCATTACCATGGGAATCTTAGTCAGTTCATTTGCATTGCCTATTGTACTGGCTCGAGTTCCTGTCATAGAATGGGGTGCTTGCTATTTAACATTAGCAGGAAACTTTGTGGTGTACGCTACTTTATTAGGATTTTTCTTAACATTTGATCAAGACGATTCAGATTATAACATGTGGTAGGTTGGTGTGCTGAACAATTATTAAATAATTATACTAGTTTACAACAAGAAGTATCTTGAACCAGAAAAGGTACTTTTTAATTTTTTAAATGAATTTAAATAAAATGGAGAATTAATCTCGGAATTTAAATATTTGCATTTTTTAAGGCTTTTTTCTGCATTTCTAGCGTTATATTTTTATTTAAAATGGCCTAAATGTGCAATGCTGTAATGTAACTAGTAATTAGAGAAAATTAGAGAATTCATATAGGGTAGTGAGATGTAGACAAATGTATAATTATTAGAAAAAGTACTTTTCAATTATCTATGATATAAAGTATATCTGAAAAAGACATCCAAATTTTTAATTTTAAGTTATTTTAAATAATTTATATGAACATGAATTTGGAAATGCTTAGTAAGGTTGCCAGCATGTTTCAAAGGCAGCGGAAATTAACAAGTATTTATTATTTGAGTTAGACATATAATATACAATTGAGACTGAATCGACTCATTTCACTGCAATAGCTATTGTAATATCTGTAATATATAAATTAAAACAATTGCAATAATCAAAGCAAAATTGTACCTACCGATTAGGGTTGACCACCTTTTTGAAAAGCGAATAAAGGACTAAGGATATGTGCCGTAAAAAAGTACATTTTATGCTTTAAAAAGTTTCAAGAACATTTTGCATCAAAAATGGACTGTCCTTTTAAAAAAAGGACAGGTAGCAACCCTACTACCAAGTATAAAACTTTTAAGCTAGTCAAGAGGTGTCTCTTTTTTATTAGACCAAATGTGAGCAATCAGAGCTATGCAGAGGTGTGTTAACTTGCTTAGATGTATTTGCAATGGCAATGACCAGTTAAAGTATTAAAATAGCTACATAGAAAAATTGTTGGAATTCAAAATGTTCAATATTCTAATAAAACTAAATACCCATCCTTGAAAGTCCTACTGAATACTGAACGAAACTGTTTACTACTATTTTTCAAAATCTAACTCAGATGAAATAAAAATATTTTCGGCTGCAATTTTAATATCTGCTTGCATCCTTACGAAGCGTTTCAGAACTCATGTTCATATATACCTTTTGCATGCTTTTTTTTATATAGAATCTTCTTCCGAAACATATGAAACGAAATTACGGACATCCTATATAGCAAACAACACAGACACTTCCAGGACCATGTTATTATAAAAATGCAAAAGTAATTCTGTTTCAAGGTACCAACTAGTTTTCATAATTTGTAAACTAGTGAAATGTAATACTACTTATATAAGCATAAGAGTAATAATGTATTTTGTAAAGAAATGATGTATTTCATTCAGTGGGATTTACTTGTACACTATATAAGGATTAATTTAATTTAAGTAGATTTTGTACTTATTTAAGTATTTATAATTTTGGTAGAGATTTATTTTACAACACTAATTTGAGATTGTAAAAACGAATAAAACATTATTTTATTACAAGTTTTTATATTTACACTGTTTAAAGAACGCTATGCTGATTAAATGGGGAAAAAACAAAAAGTTGTTTTGTCTATGCCTAAGGTGTATGATTTGGAATTTGTTTGGAAAGGTTCATTAAACTCCACTCATTTGTGACGTGAAAAGACCACGCACTTATGCAAACGAGAGTACCATCAAAATTGTGAATTTTTTATGTGCTAAATTACTTTATGCCCCCATCAAAAGTGTCCATGTGCCCAATCTTATCACTATATATTAACATACAGGGTTTTGAAGTTAGAAATCCAATTTTTTTAAAAATGCACAACAAAAATTACCCTTTAATTATTTTGGCATTTATTTGCTTATTTTGTGTAGTCAAAATACATACTTAACTGCTATAATCAAAATATTGCACAGTTCGCTTGTTGTCTTCAAACAAGCAACACCAGTTTCTGTGCGAGACAAGTAGCAGCGATAAGTTTACTGTTTAATACCAAAGTCCATAAAAAAAGTCCAGTTCAAGTGATGGGGAAGAATTCTCCGGATTTATGGATGTAGATCAAGATATTTCCAAGTCAACGAGAAGAAAATACAACGAGTTGCTAACGAATTTACAGCAGAAGAATCGCTAGACGAATTTATCGGAATCTCCAAAAAAAAAGGCTAATAGATAAGAACGGAGAATCGTGCGACCCCCTCCAAAAAACCAGTTAAAGATAACAAAGGATATTCCGTAGTTTCTTATAAAAAAAAAACACAAAGTAAATCCAAAACCAATATTCCATCAAATAAAAATACAGGTAGAGCCATAAATTTTTCACCACACATGAAAGAGTTCCAACAAAAACAATTGAATAATATATTCTATATCAACACCGATAATACCATTATTAATAGAATCGACATGGCTGATTTGGGGGAAGAAACGAGACCAAATAATAGTGATATAATATTAGAGACAAAAAAGGGCGAAAAAGTGATATTGCTAAAGCGATATTAGAAAATGCACTAAAGATCTTAAAAAATAACAATAAAGTTGTGGAATATAACGCAATAATACCCTACAACCAAGCTTCAAGAAATAACAAAATTCCAGCGATTCAAGTCTACTCTTGTGTTATTGCCTCTGTCGAAAACGAAATATCGGACGAAGAAATCTCATAAAAATGGACTCATCTAGAGGGGAATTCCACTACTGTAAACGAATCATCTCAAAAAAGACAGACACTCCAACAAACTTTATAACAATTATCACAAAAAATCTAAAATTTTACGAAAAACCTCTCTCTGAAGGATTATATTACAAATCCCGCCATTATGCTGTCTATACGAGCTCTCCGCCGCCCCCAGCCTCAATGACTTGCAATAAATGTTTGAAGTTTTCCCACTCAACAGAAAACTGCACAGAAATAACAAAATGAACATGTTCTGAAGCGCATTCCACGAACAAGTGTCCAACCACGCTACCCCCAAAATGCAGTGGATGTGGCTCAGAAGATCATCAAGCTTGATCATTTAAATGTCTTAAAAGACCAACAAAACCAATAACAGGAATTCCCAACTCACCAGTAAAAACATTAAATAAAAAATAAATAAATCAAACATTGAAAAAATAAATAAAGAAGTAAACCAACTAATTTTAAACAACACTAATATTACTACCAATGAAGTCAATAACTTTCGCACAAAGGTCTCCGAGATTATCACAAACAACACCAACAACTGCAAACAAATATTTTATTTATGAACTTCCTAGATACATCGTGAAACTCATCAAAATTATACGTAAAATACTCAGAGAATACAGACAAAACCTTAGTCGGGAAGTCAAAACAAACATCAACAACTTTAACAAAGACATTCAAAAATTAGTAAAACAATTTCAGCAACACACATTGGCTACAAACCTGCCAAGAAAACAATGAGCAAAATTAGATCATATGACTAGTTTTCTAGATATAACTTAATATGTACCTAATAATTTGAATTTTAAACAATAAATATATACTGATCTAAGTAGATATGGTCAAGAAAAATACCGTATATTAAATATTTTGACACACTGTGTTGTATCATGAATATACATACCCGGTACTATAAGTCTACCCACATGGTCACACAAGCAATTAATGTTCCAGTCTTTAGCAATAATTTTATGTTGTTGATTTTTTTCTCCTTGCAAGTTCAACTATGGCTATCCTATAGGGGATGCGACTTAAAATAAAATGTATTGCCGCTTTACGTCATGGGTGGCGCGGAAAGGAGTTTCCTATCTGATTTAACAAATGCTCTAGCCAAATAAACCTGTAATCCGATCAAAGTTAATTTCTCTAGGTTTAGGTCCTGCTTAGACCTACCATATAATAAACTTTTTAATAATGGAATAATGTATGACCCTGTATGTTGATTTTTTTAATAAACATTTCGCAATTTAATTTCTCTTATTTGGCTACAATTTTAACATTTCTTGTCGATTTTTTCACCTTACATATTCAACTGTGATCAATTCGAATTTTTTTTGTCTGCCTCCAAATAGTTCAAGGCGGTACATTCTTAATCCAACACAGTGTGTCAAAATATTTAATATTTCTCGTAAACATAATTATCTACTTATTATGTCAGTATACATATAAATCCTCGAATGGAAATCTAAGTTTCGAAAACCAAGGGAATTTAGAGATGAACAGTTACAAATTCGTAAATGTACGATACTGCATTTCACTTTTACTGATTCGTTACTGTCGATCTCTATTTTCTAATTTATGGCTGGAAATGTCGAGCAGCTAACTTTGATTTTCGTTTAAGGGGAGAGGGCAGGCTCGGCGATGTTGGGTTTGGCAGAGTACGATGTTGAAAAAACGTTCTACATATCACATCAATCCAAATTTGCAAAGCCGCATCTGCACACTTGGCATACATTGAAGAAATAACCAGCACCTCAAAAGAAATCAACAGGTATTTTTTTTTTTTTTTAATTACAGTCCACTAATGAGGTGTGGTTTTTCTTACCTATAAGTCGAATGGCACCATTAATCATCTTTAAGTCGCCCCGGAGCGCCACGGCTATCTCCTTACAAGCTCAGTTGGCTTCAGGGGTTGAAATTTACTAATAAAAAGATGAATTAGGGAGAGTATTATTATATTTACTCAATATTCCGTTACATAATGAAGGGAAATACTTTAAATATTACAAAATCAACGAATTTAAATTTGTTTGTAACAAGAAAACAAAAAAAGGTTAGACTTCTATGTTCTGGTCGTGTTTTTAACTGGGACATATATTTCCCGTCGGTGATTTACAGTTAGGTATGGAACGAAGTAAAATAATCCATATGTAAAGATAAATTACACATTTTACATGATATTTTGGTACTCTTTTCATTTCGCTGTGTACACTTCCCTTTTCACCTTTTTTCTGTAAGTGGTCACCAATATAAACATTCTCTGGGATGATTTAGAATGTCTTCTATCCTATTCGAACATATCACGAAGTGACGTAACTCGAAAAATTGAAAATTTAGATAAGTCACATATTATGCAAAAAATATGCTCTACAATTTC